ATATTTTAATTATATTTTAATTATATTTTAATTATATTTTAATTATATTCTTATTATATAGTAAATATATTTAGCAAGTTTCTGCAAAGAATAATTATGATAGAATTTTTATATAAGTTAAACCTCATTTTTATACAGTAGTTCGTCTGGAGAAACACGGAAATAAGAAATATCCAGTTCGTTTTTAGCAGGTGAATAATCATTTAGTATTCTAAAATGAAGATGATTGGGAGAAAGATTTATTATTCCGTGGCATTCATTATTGTGACAATTTTTATCAGCAAGATGATTTACAAACACCGGCTTCTCATTGGTATTAATTCCATCTGTTTCCAAGAATAAGGTTCTTGAATTTGATATCATATTCTTATTTTTCCATTTGACTTTATTATTAAAATATTTATTAGGGAAGATTTGCTTAGTATAAATAGTGCTAAAAATAAAATAAAAAAAAAACAAATTAGTCTAAAAAAAAACATTAAATTTAATAATTCTAAAAGTACTATTACCAAATAAACAATTTCAAATGCTTTAAAAGTGGTTCATCTTGTTCGTTCATTTGCTTTTTACGTATTTTAGAGCAGTAAGCAAATAAACATGCTGAATTCATCCGAAGTGAAAAATGTGATCCAACGATTAATTTAAAGTCACGCACGTTTAATTGATTTGTATTATTTGAATTGCTTGTTGATGATATCTCTGAGGCTGAGCCTGCTTCTTCTTGTAAAGAAGCATCTACTTTATCCATTACACACGTAGTTATCACATACTTATCCAATAAGTTCAAATTAGATGTATGTGAAATAGTATCTTGATCATTTACTTCGTATTTTTCACTTTCAATTGTATTTGACAGTTCGAAATCAAAAGTTTCTGTTGGATATCCTATTACCATCCATCCAATTTGGATAGGTATATGGATAGGTCTTCGTTTTAATTTTTGTTTTTCAACAAACTTTTTTTTACTTGGAACACGGCTGACAATGATTATTGGTCTTTCAGGAGTATCATAAGCTACACATGAAGAAAATATATGCTTATCTTTTTTTCTCTTCAAAATTGTAGAAAATATTTGGCAATCTTTTATATTAGGAATATCATTTAATTGTTTGCATATTCCGTGCGCACGTTGTTTACTTTCGCTTGTGAAATACATAAATGGATCGACTTTTGCTGATTTTTCATGAAAATATGAATTAAATATAATTTAATGATAAATTTAGCAATTTAACCAAAAATAATACCTTTTAAAATTTTTTTCCCCAAAGTATTCAAAACTCTTCGTTTTAAATTATTCTCTAATAAACTAAATATAGAATAGATTTCATGATATTCAATTACTTCCCAGTTCCCGGGATCTTGGAGTGAATCAACCCAACCAGGAAGTTTCTGAGATTTATCTCCACCTTTTATTACGTAGCTAGATTTAACTCCATATTAGTGCTATTTCCAGCTTCTAAAGTAGCGCCCACAATATCTGATCTGACATTAAGTAAAATATCTGACCCTTCGCATTCTATGTGTTTAAATTATAAAAAGCATTAGTATTAAGTAATTCACATTAACGGACGTCAAGACGAAAGAATTTAACACACTTGAATATTTCATGTCTTCTATTTTTTCAACTATAACACCTCCAAAATATACTGAGCTTGCATAAAAATAGCCATATTTTTCCGCGATTTTTTTAAGATTTTTTATTTTTTCCTCTTGAGTCCCTTCACTTAATGCCTTTTCGACATCATCAACAAATTCTTTTTCGACACAAATTTTGTCTTTTTTAATATCTATACTCACTTTTCTATACTTTATATATGAATATTTTACGGCCTTTTCATAATTTTCTAGCTTTTTATGTAAGGAACTATAGTTAGCTCCCAGAAAAATAGGAACCCATGGTAGAACATAAGTTGAACCAAATGTAATAAAATTTCGTTTATATAATTCTTGAAATTCATTTTTACATTCAAATAAGTCTTCTTCATATTTATCTTCGAACTCATGACATTTTGGCGTCTCTTTGATCGTAAATGCACGATAATTAGCCCGTTCTACTGAACCATTCTTAATTATAAATCCATATCCACACTTATTAGTCAATTTTATTAGGTCATGTTCATGTTCTCGGCAAATATATAATATTTCTTCATCATTTTCAATTGATAAAATCTCTCCTAGCTTTAAATCATTTTCATCGAACTTAAAAATTTGTGCCTTTCTTTGATCTATAAAGTAACAATCTGGACACATATAGAGCTGAGTTCGTTCTTCCCAAATGTTTTCAAGTTCTTCTCGAATTTCGGTAAGACTCTTTCCTTTATGTAAAGAATATCTAAATGGTTTACTAGGTGTTTTATTATGACCACTGTAAATCATGATCTTGCCTTCTCGTAGTGTGGAAATATATAATTTATTGCCATTTACTAAAATTTCTTTTAAATTACTGAAACGCTCTTGGTCTTCATCAACGTACATTCCATTTTTCTCTCTGAATTTGAAATCATTAGTGAATACTTCTGCATGTTCGCTTTTTTCAATGTATATTTTGCGAATATCGTCTAGTTTATCTTCAGGATCCAAGGAAAGAGATAATACACATACTTTACCATCAATATAAACCTTGATTTTTTTTAATAGGTTTTCAACATAAATTATAGAATTATTAGATTTACGAAGTTCATTTAATGTATAATCAGATTCGTTTTCATGATATATCCGATTTCCATCTTTTTTAAACAAAAGCTTTTCTGCGTTCCAGTCGTTTCGGTTTTCGGCTAATTTTTTTCTCACGTCTTCAAGTTTTATATCTGGCTTAAATTTCTTACTAAAAGTATTTCCATCATCAATTTGGAAATTAAATGATTTTTCTCTTAAATTTCTTCCTAAAAGTATTTCCATCATCAATTTGGAAATTAAATGATTTTTCTTTTTCTTCTTCTTTATCCTTTTCTTTATTAAAGGATAAAAATCTAATCATTTTCATTGCTAATATTTAGAATACAGGATATCCAATAAGTAAATAAATGTACGTATGACATTTATGAAAATAATTTATACAAATTTTCCATATATAGATATTTCCAAATTCCACACAGCTGTCGCATGACTAATTTCTAAAGTTTTATTTAAACAAAAATTGGCATTTTATTTATACTTTAGGTTGTAGTTGAAAACAAATAGTTTTCTAAAAAAAAAATAAAATGATTTGAAAAATAAGATAGGATGGGATGACAAGAGTTACGCATGACACCTCGAGATGTTATAATTCGGCGCGAGGTATGATATGCCGCTTAATACAATAAAAAAAAATATCCTAGAATATTATTAAATTTTGCTTACCCAATTAGATTACTGCACGCGAATATAATTTTGTAATAAAGGTATACCTTAATAAAATTTATTCCCTTTAACATGATAGCAATAGCATGATTGTGGCGTGTATTATTTAATGCTACAGTATAACTAACTCCTAAAGTTTTCCAACGCTCTTTCTAGCTAATAGTAAATCAAATATAATTCATCTTAGTATTCATAGAGAATAGGATTCAATGCGCATTGAGGTGACTTATTCAAGTTAAAAGATAGTTAAGGATCTTTGGTTTGTGAATTTTGTAAATTCAACTAAAACACACGTTATTATATCGGCAAATTCGTGGAATTGGGCCTAAATTAGGGCCAAAATCTTCAGCTATAATGCATCCTGTAATTGTTAAATCCAGTTAGACCCATTCCGCAAATTCTGACATATGCCAAAAAAAAGTTGTAGGTGCAGTTCTTATGATTTTTATTACTGTTATAAATCATAGAAAGACTTTTGTATAATTAGATAATTTATTTTATTGTAAGATTGTATATATATTTTTTTATATTTAAATTAAACCAATAATTCTGTAAAAAGCATTTTAAAAAAGTATTTTTGTCAAGTTGAAGTTAATAAAATAAGCTTACTATATCAAGAATAAAAAATAAAAAATTTTATTTGCAAACAAATTATAGCCGCAGTCCTCTTCTATAATCACTCAGTTTGTTTTACACAAATATTTGTTTATAACTATAATGTGCTTATATGGAGGTATTTTATAATAGTATTATTAAGAAATTTATTTAAAATTTTATGTGATTATATAGAAGGTAACTATATAGGAGTACGACTGTAAAAAAGAAAAAGTATGACTATATATCTTTACAATTCTTTGAAATACTTTGCAGAAACTAACAAATTTTGGTGATAAGTTTAAGATAATATTAAAGATATTAATAAAATATTTTATAATTTTTTTTTTTAAAACAATTCAGCAATCTTGCCTCTACTTTATTAGGCTTGAAAATATTATACTAAGAAATATTACAAATTTACAAAAAATGAGTCTCTAAAAGTTAAGTTTTACAATGTCTAAATTAGAGCTGTTACCCGGGTTGGCTTGACCCGTACAGGTCAGAATTTTGATGGGTCATGGGTCAAAAATTGGGTTGACCTGGGTCAAATGGGTCAGTTAAATGGACAGATAGATTGCAATAACTAGGTTTTTCCGATGTAGAAAATGAAAGAATTCTAATTATGATCAAGGTCAAAAGTTTTTTTTGACACAAAACCTGAGATTTTTTGAGTTAAAATGGTTATATTTTCAAGCTTAACCTATGTGACTATTGACAAGGATCAACCCAAATCGAAAATGGTTGACCTGGGTCAAACCCAGGTTACCATTTTTCAACCTGGGTCACAGCTCTAGCCTAAATTACAAGTATTAGCTTACCCAGCTCTTTGTGACCAAAGTCCAATTACCCATGTGTGATCTGCTATAAGCAGAATTCTCTTCCATAATATTCACTTCGCACTTGAAGAAAATAAAACATCATTGGAAGGTTTCTACTAGCCCATCAAGACTACCTATTTCTTCTTTAAAACTTTTTTCACCTAGATCCGAGCAGAATAGTTAATCTCTTACTTTTCTATAAGAAAAAATATATATACTACATTTACAAAAGAAGAAAAACTATATCTAGGAAAAGAAAGAGAAAAACAGAAAAAAAAAAAAGTTATAACCGAAAAAAAAAATAAATCCTAAACAGTATTCTAACATAATAGAAAAAAGATGAAAAAAGCAAAAAAAAGAGATAAGGATAGTCCTAATAGATGCATCCAAAGAAAAAAAAAGAAAATACACTATTATAACCCATGTCAGGTGAGTATAAAAATTATATAACAAATGCAACATTTGTATATCCCTATTGTAAAGCTTCGCCTTAACGTTCGATTTTTCTTTCTGATCTTCAAATTGATTCCGAATAACTATGTCGTGCCCATCCTAATTCATATTTTAAGCCAGGTGCTTCCACTGTCCATAGACCCATATCTCAAGCCACCTGTTACCGTTATTAGGGATTCCATGCTGGGGGCCTAATTCTAATACACTATATCTGTAAAACACATGGTTGCAATTCATTAAATTGTCTGAATTTAGAAAGTAAACAGTGTCGATCTTTTGAAGGGGTAAGCCAAATCCCCTACTTTTTCGGAAAAATTTAGAAGACTGATAGGGAAGTGGAAGTGAGTAAAGAGGAGAACCACTTAACCAAGTAAAAGAGTGTAGCTTGGAAAAACTAATATCTCCTGTGTTTTTTGTTAATAGTTGAGTAGTTTCGTCGACAAAGTTGGGCTTTGCCCATACTCCATCAAGATTTTATATACAAGGGTGCCACCTCCAGGTTTATTGTTATCTTGCTAGTTAATCTGTATAGTAATGCTTTTGGCTTGTATGCCAAACATCTTTTAGAAGAGTCCTACAGAGTAAACGTTGACCTCTAGACAAACCACTATATCAACCATAACTCTCCAAAAAAAATTTGTTTTTCTGTTAGTGGGAAATTTTTGGTTTAAATAATTGTCGAAAAGAGTTCTGTATAGCTAAAAATGATAAAATATTTTATAATTAAAGATTGTTTTATTATAAGTATAAGATATAATATAAAAATAATAATAAAATTATGTTTAATAATTTTAAATTATTATAAATTATAATAAAATTACTATAAGTTTATTGTTAACAATCATTATAAGATTGTATAAGATTTTGTAAAATTTTTATAAGATTATTTTAAGGTTATTATATAATTATTTTAAGATAATTATAAAATAGGTTTAAGATTATTTTAAAATAATTATATGATAAATTATTATAAAATTATTTTAAGCATTATCAGGAAAATTTAAGACCTAATTATAATTAGTTGCAAACAGTTAATCAATTAATTTTAAACGACTATTATCAGTAGGAATAATAATAATTAATTTAAATCAAAATCAATAATAGTCGATTATGATTAAAAGCAATTATTGTGGTTTGCAAAAAAATATGAAATTTGCGAATCAAAAAAAAAAAAAATCATTGATTTTTGATTTCTGATTACTGATTTCTTTTAATAACATATATATATCAACTAATATTATACATATAAAGTTATATATATTTGTTTAGCATACATTTTTTAAAAAACATTCATTTCTAATGACTAAAATTATTATCCTGAAACATGCTTTGGATGCACAAAGCATCTTTTTTATTAACTTCTAAAATTTATTGTAATGAAAAATATATATATTTTAATAAAAAAAGTTACACTAAAGTTCCTTAGCAATAATATGTAATAATCATTATTAGATTGAATTTAGTGCAGCTTTTAAATTTTCTTCTTGCTTATTATGCAATAGTAAATTTTACTGGGCTAGAAAAGAAACAAAATTTAATATTATATGATCAAGTTCTTTACAGCATAAAGAGTATGCAAAATATATTCCTATAAAAGATGTTAAGTCAAAATATAATACAAAATTATGAATCTACAACTTTTATTTCTGCAAAAAAAATGTTAAAAAAAATTAACAATCAGAATCAGAAATTATCAATTACTTTTTTTTTTTAATCTGCAAATTTCACATTTTTTTGCAAACTGCAATAAATTAAATTGATTATAATCGATTAGTTTTATCATAATCAATAAAAACCTTTATCTAACAGGTCCTATATACACACTAGATGTTTTTTGTATATATTATTCGATCACTTTCTAATTATATAAAAACTCAATTTTTTGATATTTTTTTTTTGCGTAACTCATAAAATTCATATTAGTGAAAGTTAAGGAAAAAAGATTTAACGAAGGAAAAAAGTAAAAAAAAGTTAAATGAAAAAAATGATAAACAAAAGCGAAAAAGTATGTGAATATAAAAAAAGAATAAAAGTGAGTCTAATGATTAGAAAGATCAATAATATATATGAAAAACGGCAGTGCTTACATCGACCTTACAGATAAAAATATTATCAGTTAAGTTGTAATGAAAACTGATTATTTGTAGGAAACAATATAAATGACATGGCTTTGCCATGTCATTTATATAATAACCTAACAATAAATCAGTTATTATTCACAACCTAACCAATAACAAGTATGTATTTACCCTATTAAAGTCATGTGTTTATATGATATATAGTCAGACCTCTCTAAATGCACCTTCTCTAAATACAGCATCTCTCTAAATGCAAGTCTTCTTTTGGGCCCAACTAATATTATATCTATAGATTTTTACTTCTCTAAATGCAATATCTCTCTAAATGCATATGCTAGAGCCAGTCCTGATAATATGTATTTAGAGAGATCTAACTGTAATTAAATTATCTATATACCGTTTAGAATTAGCTAGATATTGAAATTTCAAAAGTTAGAAATGTCAATCTGACAGGCATAAATGGCACACCCAGTAACATCTTGTGTGTTGACTTTTACAGGAATTATTTCACCTTTTTAAAAGGAAAATAATAGTAGAATATAGTTAAAAATAGTTAAAAGTGAAATTGGTTAAAAGCACTATACTAGTAGTCTTCTTAATTATAATATTACTT